TTTCTTTCCTTTTATTCTTCTTATCTTTATTATTATTAATTTTATATTAATATATTAAAGCTTTTTTAATAATTACTTAATTTATTAGCTATATTAATTAAGTTTAGGCTAAGTAAGCTATTTATAAATATATTATTTCCTTTATTTATATATCTTAATAATATAATATAAATAGTATAAGTATTTTTATTTTTAATATAATAATCCTTTTTAAAGTTCTTAATAAGAAAAATAAAATTTCCTCTTTATTCTTTAAGTTTTTAGTATTAGAGTTTATATTTATTAAAGATTTTATTTTTTTTATTAAAACTTAAAAATATTTAATATTTTAGTTTCTTCTAGAAATAGTATTTATAGCTATTATAAGGATAAGAAGCTTATAAAAGTATTATATAATCTTAGTATATAATATTAAGTTCTAAAATTTCTAAATTAACTTCTTAAACCTATAATTCTTTATTTTTTATAGTAAGTAATATTATTATAAGTATAATAAAATTTAAAATATTTATTTTATATATAATAATTATCTTAAGTTATTTATTCTTAAAATAAAATTATTTTTTTATAATATAATTATTATTTTATTTTAATAGTATTATTAATATACTAATAAATATATCTTTTATATTTAACTTAGTAATTTTAAGATCCTTTCTTTTATTTAGAGGTATCTTTAGGATTATATTAGTATTTACTTTAATTTTTAATTTAATTATTTTAAGATCTTTTTCTTTATTTAAAATAAGCTATATTCTAAAATCTTAATCTTTATTTAAATTAATATTATTTAGTAAGTAATAGTTTTACTTTAGTTTAAAAAAATACTTTTTATTATTAGCTATACTAATATTTTAAGTAAGTAATTTATTTTAGTTAGCTATATTTAGTTTTTATAATTTAGTTATAAGTTTCTAAGTTTTTTTTAATATATAATACTTATTTATAAAGTACTATATTTTTTTATAATTATAATAAGTTTTAGCCTTTTCTTTATATATAATATTAAGTTCTATTAACTTTAGGTAAAATCTATAAGCTATAAATTTATTTTATTATTTCCTTATATTTACCTAATAGTATTAAATTATAAGTTAAATATTATTTCCTTTTTAACTTTTCTTCTTTATATATTTAATATAATTATAATTATTAATCTTAATTATTATTTTAATAAAGGTATTAAAAGTATTTAATTAATCCTTTTTATAAATCTTATCTTTTATATTTTCTTTAAGTCCTTTATAAAAGAATTTTATTAAGCTATTATCCTTTTAGTTAAGGTAAATAATAATATATTTAAACTTATATATATAATACTAAGCTAATCTAATTTACTTTATAACCTTTAGTTTATAAGTAATAATTTAAAGTTTATTTAGGTTTTTAAATATAATTTTAAGTTATTTTTTAAAATTCTTATAATTTATAAAGATTTAAATAGTTTTATCTTTAGGGGTTTTATTATTAAAGTAGTCCCTAAGAGTTAGCTCTTACTACTTTATTACCTTACTTATAAGAAGGTTTTTAATATAAAGAATTTTTATTATAAAGTTAATAATAATAGTATTAATTTAAAAATAAGCTTTAGCTTAAGTAAAAAAAGTTTATATATTTCCCTTAGTTTTATTAAATATATTAGGTTTAAAAAACTTAAAAAGTATAAGAACTTTAGTATTATTTATTTATATAATCTAGACTTAAGTAATAAAAACTTTAATTTATTACCTTATTTATATTATAACCTAAGTAAAGGTAATAATATTTTTACTTATAATAAATATTATAAAAAGTTAGCTATTTAAGGTTTTAAAAATAACTTACTAAATAAAA